CAGCAGCAGCCTCCTCCTTTCGCTCTTCTTTTACCCGCACCGATTCCTTGGCTGGCCTGGCCCCTTCGTCGCCAGCCCGGGCCTTGGGAGTAGCAGGAGAAACCCGGAGCTGGGGCCGTGAGAAGGGGAGGTCCCTGGGGAGCAGATGTTGGGGAGTGAATGAAGCTACTCCAGTGGTAAGAGAGGTCAGGGCCTGAGCTGCAGGGAGGCATACCTGTCTTTCTCCTCCTTGGTGAGAGAGGGCTCCCTCCGCTCCACAGGCCGCTCCTTGTCTGAGCCTGGTGTCCGGGCAGCCTCAGGGGGCCGGACCCAGGCAGGAAAGGCCAGAGGACTGCGGTGTAGGCGGCCCCATGGGTCTGGTGGGGAGGCGAAGGCTGGTGGGGCCCCTGGGCTTTCTTTTTGGGCAAAGACGGCGCCGGAGTCTGGGAGAGGGTGAAGTAGAAAGTGATGGGCCAGGAGGGGGAGGCCCCATTTAGGCATCCTTCAGGCACTTGCCTGAGCACATTACCCCACTGCTACAGCCCCCCATGCCCCCAGCACTCACTGAATGTGGGGCTGCCCAGGCCTCCAAAGGCCCCGTTGGAGAGGGCAGCCAAGGAGGCGAAGCTTGTGGGACGCCCAAAGGGATCTGTGGGAGGAAAGGGGGATGATCAGAGCACTGGGCAGCCAGCTCTGAGTAGGCATGAAGAACTGGCGGGGAAGAGGCCCAGCAGCAAGTGGGCCGTGGAGCCCTCAGCTGCTTGGTTTCAACAACCCCATGCTGGGCATTTCCTCGGGCCAGACAAGGCACTGAGCTCAGACACACATCGTGTTCTTTAACTTCACAATGAGCCCCACGAGGTGGACAGGCAGGCTCATCCCACTTAAAGATGACAGAACAGGCTCAGAGAGGTGAAATGACTTGCTAACAGTCACCTAGCCAGTGAGTGGTGCCATCCAGCCAAAACCTTCTGACACCAGAAGCCAAGCTCTTCTCCCCTACACCAGCCACCTGGACCCATCTTAGCTGATCTCAGCTCTGCAGCAAGCTACTCGCCTGGAGCCCTCTGTAGGGTTCCCCACCTGACATGCAGGGCCCTTCCCAGCCTTTCCTCAACTTCATGCATGTGTCACTCAGCCAAATGGAATAACTAATCTATTCTCCCAGGGGAACCTCACAACCTCCCCAGCCATGAACATCTTTCTCTGAGCCATCAGGCTCAACTCCTTCTCCACCCAAAGCCAGATTCAGTCTCCCCAAGAAGCCAGCGAGATCCCTAGGGGTCAGTGTCTATGCTCTCCCCTGGGCCTGCAAACCCCCTCCTCCCCCAGGTGGCATGCTGCTCCCTCCCCAATCACTGGCTATTTCAGAGACAGGGTGTGGCCTGTCAGAGACAAGATCACCCTGCCCTTCCCTGCTCGTTTTACAGATGAGGAAACCAAGGCTCAGAGGGGGCAGAGTAAATTGCCCAAGGTCACAAAGCAAGTGGAACCAGGTCTACCCCCCATTCCAGCTGCCTGTTGGGACTGATTTCCATCCCCAGCTTGAGAACTCCTGGATGTCAGGGACAAGGCCTGGGTTCCCCAAGATGCCCTTGGCTCTTACCAATGTGGGTGCTGGGGCTCAGGAAGGGTCCGTGGGCCCCGGGAGCTGCTGTGAAAGGGTTGGCTGCAGCGTGGACGGCACCTGGGGCAGAGAGGTGGGAAATACTGATGAGGCTGAGTGGGCGCAAGATGGGCCTTGGGCTATAGACAGGAAACTCAGGCCCTGAGAGGGCCAGCTGGACTCACCAGTCGCAGTGAAGAGGGAGGCCGGGTGGGAGAGCTCCTGCCCAGGGGGCAGGGCCCCATAGGGCCCCGGAAGGCAGGGCAGGAGGTCGTTCCGAAAGTCAAGCTTGTGGGAGTCACCCTGTGTGGGGCACAGGGAGAGGGGCAGTGAGTAAGGAGCTAGGTCTGGTCCCACTCCTGCTCTCCTTCCCCAGCTCCCCTGTAAGGGCTGGCTGCACCAAGATGGGGCTTGGGTACCTATCCTCTGCCTCTCTCAGAGCCTTCTCTGACCATTCCCCCAGTCAGCCAGAGAACTAAAGTGCTAACTGTGAACTGCTCAGCAGTGGCAAGGAACAAGGGAGAATGTTTCTGACCAGGACTCTGCTGAGCTCTGTGGAAGGCCTCCCCTGACTCTCAGACCCACTCTCCCCAGCCCTCCAGCCCCAGTACCTTCATCTTTTCCTGGTGTCTCAGGATCATGTAAGCCACGCGCACGTGCATGGCACACCACTTCCCTGGTTTCTGTGCCCCAGAAGGATGACCAAAGGGAAAGGGAAGGAGAGAATGTTCACTCATCATCCACTCCAGGCCTGGCCCTGGGCCTAGCCTTGCCATATGACATCCCCACCTATCATCCCTACAACTCAGGGATACCTAGGGTCAATTTACAGCCTAAGCAACTGAGGCTCAGAGAGATAAACTGTCTTGCCCAAGGTCCCACGGCCAGTTACATCTGAGCCCAGGTCTGTGACTTGAAAGCCCTTGACTTTCTGCTGTTCCACATCTGGCTGCCTCCATGTCTTGGGTTTCCTGCTCATTCCCAAGCAAGACCCCCCCTCAGCCAAACACCCTGACACCAGCCCCCAATCTCATGCAGCCTGAAGCCCTCACCAAACTCACCCTCAAAGGTGGCCGGAAATGGTCGGGGATCTGGGGATGGCAAAGGAGAGATAGGAGGCAATTCAGACCTGTTTACTGAGCTGGGTGCCTCATCTCCAGAGCACCCATGTACCCCCAAACACCTCCCTGGCACTGTGTGTGGCTCCCTGAAGCCTTTCCTGCTGTGTCAAAACTCATTCCTCATCTCTCCCACTCTAAGCATCTCTGTTCCAGCACATTCCTGGAACAGTGCCCTCTTGGAGCACTGGGGCAGGTGAGTAGGCACTGGGGCAGGCAGGACAGGTTTCTCAGCCACAGAAGCTGCCCTATCAGCAGCTTTACAATAAGGGGGTCTATTTAATATTGCTTTAGAAAAAAACACCATTTAAGGAAGTTAGAAAACCTTCAGTCTAGCCAACCCTTTAGGAAAGGTGTCCTGTGCTTTTCACAATGTTCTCAGAGCCCTGGGGTCTAAGGCTGCTACATGTGCTAAGGGGGAGGGAAGGCTCTGGCTCCCAGCCACTTCACAAAGGGGCACCTTATCTCCTAATTGTTCTATAGACAGGGCTTCCTGGTATGATGTCATTAAAAAAAAAATGTTCTGTGGCCTAAAATATTTGAAAATCCCTCCAAAAGCCACTGTCCTGGGATGACCATATGAACTTCCTATTCCTCATGCCTGGCAAATTGGTTATTTACAGAAACTATCTCTCATTAGACACCTGAAACACTCCTGATCATATATTATGGGGAGGTATCAGTGGCTGTGACTTTTCTCAAGTCAACCCTGCTCTCCCCCTCAACATACCTGCCAGCTCCCCCAGGCCCTGCCCTGGCCCCCCTCACCTGCGTCCCCTTTTGAGGGAGCCCGCTCGGCACTGGCCCCAGTCGTGGTGGCAGCTCAGGGTTCGTGCTCTGGGAAAGGGGAGTGGAGGGATCAGACAGGAGAGCTGGCACCAAGCGTAAAAGGGGTCCAGAGCCAAGCTAGGGGGATAGGACAGGGAAGGGAAAATGGCTTTGGAGAAACCTGGGTCCAGAAGGGGAGGGCAGGAGGATGGGCATGGTTCTGGGGAATGGGAGGAAGGTATGTGGACCCCAGGGAGTCTGGGTTTCTAAGGGATGAGAGGTGGTGGCGGTGTTTGGACTGGGAGCTCACCTTGGGCTGGAAGGCCCCCTGCAGGGAGCCAAAGGAGACAGCCGGTGGGAGGCCCGGAGGTAGCCCGGGCACTGCGGGAGGGAAGGCCGTGTACGGCTGTGGAGAGAAGGGGACTAGTCCAAGCAGGGGGTGGACCCCATGTCTGGTCTGCCCATCAGTCCTTTGGCCTCCACCCTAAACCCCCAGGGAGCTCTCCAAGGCTCAAAGCTCCTGCTCTTGAAGCTGAGGATGCGTGCCCAGCAGTCAGGGCCACACGCACTGCTGCATCTGTGCCCCCTCCCCCACACACACTCACACTCACATTATGTCGGAAAAGGCCTTCCATCTTTCCTGGATATTTCTCAAACTAGGGAAGAGAAGGGAAGAGTAAGCTGCCAGCCAGGTACCCAGGGCCTTCCCCGGGAAGCCACGCCCTCCCCCCAGGCCTCTGAGCCTCACAGCCGGCCCAAGGAGGAGCTCACCATGTGGGGGCCATGGGGTGGCAGCAGGCCTGGGGGGTAAGGGGTGAAGTGCTGGTGGGTGTGCTGGTGGGTGTGCTGGTGCTGGTGGTTGTGCTGGTGGAACTGGAAGGCCAGGGGCCGGGCCGAGCCCCCTGCCCCCACCACCTCAGGGCCACCCTGGGCATTCAGGTAGCGAGAATTCAGGTCCTGGCCGATCAGGTCCTGCTCTGTGGGAGGGGAAGGGGAGAAGGCTTTAATGGCTGTCACCCCTGTATCAGCCTCCTCAGGTCCAGGTAATTGGCCTTTGCTCTAGCCTTAAGCCACTCCCTCCTCAAGCTGTGCTGTCTACTGAGGACCAGATGTCCCAAAGCCAACTGGGCCCAAGCCCCGGGCCATGGCCCCCCACCCCCCGGCCAGAACCCCAAACTCACCAGAAAGGGCGTTAGCGGCTGAGGCCCCAGGGTGCCCTGGCACCTGCAGCAGGGGTGGAGGTGGGGGCAGGGTGGGGCCAGGGGAGA